TTTTAGATTGCATGTTTTGGTCACAAATAGCATATTTCATTATAATTGTAACTTACCCATTGTTTAATTTTTTCCTTAAATTTACCTTTGTAGCTTTTCTTCAATAAAAATTTAAGAGGCATACTAACATCCAATAAAAGTATATATTTAATTAGTGATATTTTGTAGTGAAATTTCATTATCTGTTTCTGTTAAAAGAAACTGCTCTCTTGTATAAACCATATTAATGTCATGATAATTATTGTATTAATCGGCTTCAATCATTGCATGAGTAATTCTGTTAAATACATATCTATTTTGAAATTCCTTAAATTCATCGTAACTCCTATGTTAAGTTGCACTTCTGATTAAACTAAAAAGTAGATTTTCAGGTAAGTGAAATCATAACAATCTTTATATAATATCTTAGATTAATCTTTTATATAATATTTTAGTGAAAACTTATTCTAAATTATAAATAAAAAGAAATTGTTTAAATATCTTAAGTGTAATACAAATGTAGCTTGTAATCACAGTATGGTAGAATTTCTAAGTTCTTAAGAATAATTTTTATCAGTTCATTAAGTATTTTACAGTTCATGTTATATTTGCTGCTTCTAATTTAACCCATAATGGTGTGGAAATAATTTAAGCTTAGTTCCTTCCCGGTATGAATGTAATGATTAACTATAATTATAAGGTTTATTACAACTAATTTTTAAATATGTAATAATATAAAAGTAAAAGGTATTTTTTAGTTATCAAAGATAAATTTTGAGAAAGAGCAAAATTACCATGCCCCATATGACAGCATTTGTCCGTTAAGGACTCAGCATGCTATATCTAAAGTAAAATCATTGTTATTTTACTTATATTACTTAAAAGTGCACTTTGATAAAGTGAAAAATTTTGGTTAACACAAAATCTTAAATTTATAAAACTAGTTCATTTTTTTACTTTATGGATGTATAACCACATGAAGCTAAGAATAGGTGGATTTCGAGGTTAACATTTCGCAAGATTTCTGAGAAACTACAGTCGGACCTTCATTTAACGAAGTCGCTAAATCCCGATAATAAGTTCTTCACATAAAACAGGTTTTAAATTCATAAACACTAGACATAATTAAAATAGTAATTAATACACGTTTATCTTGCTAAGTAGTATCTACTATATATTTTAAAAATCTTAACCATAAAAGAAATCTGCATGGAAAGCAAGAATAGAGCAAAACATTATACAGTGTTACACTATCATGCTACATACATTTTAAACTAAAAGAAGCTAAATTTATGCATAAAATTATATCTGCATTTATTATAAAAGTAATATTAAACATACATTTCCACATGCGTTCTTAAATTTAATTGCTTCTGATAAAATCCGTTAAATTTGTCTGAGTTCTTCGCTTGAAATGCAAACAACTAACTGCTTTCTCTAAAAGTTAAGTGACTTCAAATTTTACGGAAATAGGGAAAGGGGATCTGAAAGAGAAATTCGTTCAATAGAAAATTCACTTCGCTATTTGGAAGTTATTTTACAAATAAATTTCCAAAATATTCTTGGTTTCTCGAAAAAATTCGCAAAATAGAAAAATTCGTAAAAGGGAAGTTCGTTAAATAGAGGTCTGACTGTACTTCTGATTTATTTTATGCTTTATGAGATTCACAGATAAAATTGCTATCCAATATCTTACTTGTAGCACGTTCTTTATATCTAAAACTTTCAACAAAAGAAACAGGCCTTAACTGTTAGGCTTTGGCATAACTTATATATTAATTAATTCTAGTTGTTTTTATAAGAATTAAGCTCCAAGAAAGTTATTTGGTGCTTTCTAAAAAAGAAAACACTGTATAGATAATTACAAACTTTGTTTTATGTGTGCCTAGATGATGCAATACGCAGTTGTAGAGTTCGATGATTCGACAATGGACATTGTGGGGGTGAATTGGCTAATAGGTGATGGCAGCACCACCTATTGGCGAAAGAAAGGAACCTCTACGCACCAGAGGAGGAACAGCCCTCCAGGGCAAGATTGGGCCATGCATAAAGTAAATCGTATACTGTATCGAGCCAGTGAGTAATACTTTTTCTAGGCTATATATTTTATTTTTTGAGTGAAATTCTCATATTTTTCAAATTTTTACTTGCGATAAACATTTGTTTTCTGCCTTTTTAAGAACCTCTTAATTCCTTTCTGAAGTTCAGGGAGTTGAATGTTGTCTGATGCTTAAAAATAATCGATAGTTTTATATTCTGATTTAAATTTGTTTTATGACATGTTGTTATGTTGATGATCAAGCTAATTTTAAGAACTTTTTTTAATAAGCAATGCTTGCAAGGTACCATCATTACAAAGAATTTAATATGATCCAACACTCCATAAGTTAAATTAATTAAAATCTCAGAATTTTGTGAATATGGAGGATTGACCGTGTAAAGTTAAACACAGCATTAGGAGTTAAAATTTGCCATAAGTTTTTTAGGTTACAAATTCCGAATGATTTTTGCCCCTCAACTTGAAAAAGCACGCCACAGAGTATCGTTATACTGGTAGTGTTCGCAAATATAACACATTCTTTCAATTTAAATTTCTATGAAACAAGCAAATGAATCTGGAAATCTCGGTAAGTATGCTATCCAAAAAATAACAAAATGTGCTATTCTACGATATGATATTTTTTTAAATGTAATCAAATGAAGAATAACACTCTAAACATAGAGAAACCTTATAATTTATTTATGTGGTGATATTAACTTTCTAAAAGAATTCATGAATTAAAAGAACTTTTATGAATGTTAAAATTTTGGGGAAATTTAAAAGCAAATCAGAGTAAGACATACTATAATATTAAACCTGTTTACACATCGCTTCATGAGATTAACAAAATCGGAGCGATGCACAAGAAGTTTTCGAACGCTTGTTGTTTGCATTCAGTCAAACATCCATATAAAATGAGGTATTGTTTTGATAATGGGAGAAAAAAAAAACACTAAAGCCATCTCTTTCAAGTTCAGTTTGAACCTTGTAATTTCAATAATAAACATGACAAATTTTTAATATCTTATCCATATTTCAATTCTATGAAACTTATTGAACTTTGTGGTTGCGAACTAGGAAAATTCCAGTTATGAAATTTGATTTTGAACGATTTTTGTTACAAAGCAAAAACTATCTGTAATAAGTCATGTAAATTGTTTGCTGATTACAAATTAAAAAGCTATGCAAGCCAAAATTGTTAATTTTGTTTCGTATCAGTTTTAATTATCTAAAAAAATTCTTTTTTTTCTATGAATATTGAATTCTTAAATGCCTATTTGTATTCTGTTCCGGACTAATATTGCCATGTTTAGTAAGTTTAAAGATATGATCTAGATAAAACATTTCATAAAATGCTTGCATTATATGGTTTGCTCATAAGGATCTTCTGTATTATCTTAATTAGAATAAGAAGAATAATATTTAACACAAATATCAAACGTGCCTATATTGACTTTCCGAGAATAAGTCTGAAAGCTATGGTATTTATTAATTTCAAGATGTTTCTGTAAATAAAGGAATGTTTTTTCTTTTGCAGTGACCTTCTCCGAAGCACGGAGGATGTTGGTCAAACTTAGATACCTCTGATGCCATACCGAGTGATGAAGGTGGCAGGGGGATTAAACGAAAATGTATAGCGGCCGCTGCTGAGTCATCTGATGATGAGCAGCCGATTGGAGAGAGGAGGCGCAAGGTGCTGTAAGATTTCAATTCCGTAAGATTATTAACTCTCCATTTTAATAAACAAAAACAGAAATATTTTATAACAGTTAGAGAATTAAGCGCGCCTATCTTGGCGAGTGGTGGCCATTTTGGCGAGGAGATGTGGAGTTGGTTCGAAGAAGTTGAAATGAGAACACGGACTTTGAACGTTCTCTCGCTCGAGATTTTTTTTATATATTATTTCATGTGTTGAATATGTGTGTGTATTTGTTTGTGTTGTAGAACGAAGAGTTTGAATAAATAATAGTTTCCAACCTGGACTATTTATTTGTGCCACACATTACAGTGCCTGCACCCAGGAGTGTGTCTCCTCGGCCTCCTAGTAGGCTCTTTGAAGATGACCAGCAGGTGGTGATTTCATCATCCCCTGCCACCACTTCCTTCCCTGGTGCCAGTGTAGTCAACCTGGTTCCGGAGACCAGTGCCGCCCCATTCGACGCATGGGTCACTAAACACGAATTTAAAGGTAAGCAAGTCAAAGTTGCTTAGAGTTATTTTGAAATATTTTCTTTATTTTTTCATGTTAAATATGCTTAATATTTTTTAATGCAACCTTCAGCTAAACTGCTTCTTCTTGCCTGAGCTTGTCAGATATGTAGCACCTCTGCATATGTTGCATTTTGTACCATACTCCAAGCCCAATTTTTCCTAGTTCCATTGTCTTTCGCCTACTTTGTTTACATAGTCTGACAGTCCCTTAATGGAATTAAGGTGAAGCTCTTTAGGATATGGATTGCCTAAGGTAGTGAGGCGCGTAAGGGCGAGGGCATCACACTCGTATAGGATGTGAAGTGCTGATTCTATGTCCCATTCTATGTAGATGTTTCCTGAAATGGTAGTGCCCAGTGATGAAGCCTACAATTGTTTGAATCTTCAATCTTGGGGGCCTAAGGATTTCGGAAGCAATTTTTGCAGAAGGGCTGCTGATCATGCTTTTAGCATGTTTTTGTCCAGGAGAACTGCGCCAAACTTTGTTCATCTCCTGTTTTTCCCATTTTAGGACGGCCTTTTTTGTAGTCTTCATATTGTGTTGATTTTTTAATATAATTTTTAATTTTTCACAAAATAGGTACCTCTCAGAAAAACCTAGATGTTATACAGCTTTATTGTTTTAACGTGACTAAAACAGATTTGCTCTAGTTTATGTTCATGCATTAATTTGTTACATTAGACAATATATAATGTAGATTCAAAGTTTGAATAAATTATACCATATATTATATAAATATAGAATATTTATTATCATGTATAGCATTAGTATATTATAATACTTGGACCAAATTATTAGACACACTTTAGGGTTTTAATAATTGCTAGTTTTGCAGGAGCTTATAAGCAATACTTTTATATTTAAACATATATGTAATGAGTTTTTATTCAGGAGATTTTTTTTGTGTGCTTCCTATTTGTATTTATTTTGATTGTGTTGCATTGTAATGTTAACTAATTGATACACAAACATAAACAATTGTAAACTGGTTGAAGCTGCGTAAAAACAATAAGGCTGTATAGTATCACCTGATAATTGAGATTTTACATAGAATTTTATAGTGTGTCTAATAATTAGGCCAGGGACTGTAGAATTACGATGTATATAGAGGTGAGATTTGTCATAATCACGAATTTTAATTATAACAAATTATTTTATTTCAGCCTATAAGAAGGAGCACTTCTCCATGTTGAACAAGATACTCGTCATGCAACACAACATGGAGGAGATGTTGGTGGATCTCAAAACATCCACCGGTGCTCCTTCAAGGGAGCCACTGCCGGAGGGAGCACCTCAGCTACCCTTAAAAGCTGAGGTTGAGGTACATCATGGTAGCAAGTGCTTCAATTGATGACCTTCGCAGATTTTTTCTTTTCAGATTTATGGAGAAAGGGAACAACTGAACTATTACTGAAACATAAAAGGGAAATAATATTTTTCTAAACTGCTGGGTGAAAGATATGGGCAGGGTTGCCACAGGCGGCTAAAATGCAACTATTTTCAGCATGAGGCAACTGTGGCAACTTATTTTGCCTGAACTTTACGCATTTTTCAGGAAGGGAACAGGTTCTGAATGAGTGTCCTATTTCACTACAACGTGAGGGTTTGGGACGTACGGGCGGACTTTGACATCGTTTGGTAGTTCAGCAGTATTGAAAGTTAATATTAGGTGTTGAGTATTGATTATGTCTGTACCTTTTTTTATTGTAATATGGCGTGCATCAATAACACCTTGGTTCGATAGGCCTTCGAGTATTTCTTCTATTGGGAGAGACTGGAGAGCTTTATCAGAAATTACGCCTTTCGATATATTTAATGTATTATGAGGTGATACCGTTATTGATATGTTGCCTAAATTATGTGTTTTCAAGAGAGCGGTAGTGTGTTTTTCAGATGTAGTCTCGACTAGTAAATCGCCAGAGGGTAACTGTTTAACATTCTTTGGATTACCTATTGATGATTCAAGTGATTTTTGCACAAGAAATGGGGATACGGTAGATAGCTTTTTTTCCGTTGAACTTAATATTAGGAATTTAGCTAAGAGCAGGGTCATAATTTGAACATTTAGAAAGGTTGAAACTGGGTGAAGGGGTTGTTCCGCTTTTATTTCGGTGTGCGGAACTGAACACCTGTACATTTTCAGCCATAGAAAACTAAACTAACTTCTACTATCAGCGGCACCACCCACCACGGAGTCCAACTTAGGGGATGCAAGTAACAGTAAAAAATGTTACTGCACTGTCTGTTACTTATACAACGATGCTGACTAATAGTTATACGCCCGTAAGTCACCCCTGAAACAGCCTCCACCCTTAACGAGGTGCCCAGAAAGTGACCCCGGGCTTGACCCTAGCCATCAGATGACGTTTGTGACTAGCCGATTGATGCATACGGGCCGATATGCACCTCCCGTTTACTTGCAGCAGGGGCCAAAGCAGTGTGTTGGGGTACCAAGATGCCCCCCAACTACCAGGATCCCCTTTTCCAGGGACACGGGTCTCCACGCACGGCAAACACGAGGGTGGTTTCTTCCCATCAAGATCGGACACACCAAGGTAGTAATCGAACCAAAACAAAAAGCCCTTACCAATAAACTTGGAAACCACGATATGAATGAAAATCTGTCATAACGAATCAAAATGTGAAACAATATCAATAACTCAGAAATTGCAAAAAAAGGCATAATCAAAGCCTATAATCTGCAAATAATAACCAAATTTTGAAAGTAATTTAAATAATGTTCGCTCACTAGGCCAATGAAATCATAAAGTGAATGTCAGAAACTCAAAACAGGACCCTCGCAAGAGAGAAATGGAAGAATGCTCAGGTCCAGCTCGGGACCCCGGGTGCGCCGTACCCGTCACACAAGAGTGTGCCCCTGGGGAGGAATATTTGTTAAATTTGTCTGTTTTAAGCTGAAGGTCTGCACATTTGGATGAAATAAGTACGATGTCATCAGCAAAATCAAGGTCTTCTAAAGTAGTTGTGAAATTCCACCTTATTCCTCTTTTCTCATCTTTCAAGCTGTTTCGCATAATCCAGTCTATCACCATTATAAATAAAAATCTTGATAAAACACATCCCTGTCTCACGCCAGTTTTTACCAAAAAGAATTCACGAATATCTTTTTCGAAAAATATTTAAGTTTTTAATCTTTTTGATTAATTATTATTTTGTAAAAAAAAATATTTTTCATCAAGTTCTTTAATCTTTATGAGTTTTTTGAATATTACATAGTAAGAAAATTTTAGTCATAAACCATACCATGCTACTATTCATAAAGCATCTTTATGAACGGTAGCATCTTCATGAAATAACTATCATTGTGGTATACTGATTTTTTTTCACAATCATTTTAAGGTTTCAAAAAAAAAAAAAGCAAATGCTATAGTTTGATTATTCCTAGCATTTTCAATCAGATCATGCAATGCAGTATGCCCTTTAAATTTAAGCATAAAAAAATGCACGAAAAATCTTCAAAAAGTTAGCATCGGAGTTCCCCCCCTTCTCGTCATTTGAACGGTACCCATGACTAAAACACTCGAAACGTCGTGTATGTTTTAAGAGTGAATTTTATAGAATGAAAATAAGATTATTACTTTGTTAAAGAGATGGAGTGATCGAGAAATTAATTTTACGAGAACTGAACGAACAATTTGAAGCTTGCGTCTTGAATTGATATTCCCTTTTCACTTATAGCAGGAATAGGAATCCTGACTGGAAAAAAAAGTTGCCTCTGCAAGAGAAGTTGTTTTTCCTGGAAATGCTTCGACTTTCCATGGACAGCAAATGGAAGAAAGAGCGAGATCATTTTTTTCCCCTGATCAAAATGTCAAAGTCTTCTGTTTTGGATTAATAGTGCGTGACCAGATGCCATGGTTTGGTTATAATCCTCATGGACTTTATTCTGAAGATGGTAATTTAATTTTATTAGAAATAAAATGTCCGTTCAAGAAGATGACTCCTTACTATATCTCTATGTTGACACTAAGACTGGTCAATATACTCTGAAACCTAGGCATGCTCATTATGGTCAGGTCCAGCTGGGAATGTATTTGACAGGAGCAGTTAAAACTAAATTAGCTATATTTTTATTGTATCACAACAGCTATATTGTGTTTGAAGTTTTTCCGGCACAGAATGATTGTTTTTTTTAAAACCTTAATTGATGTTTATATTTCTCATTTTTTACCAAATATAATCTAATGCTACTCTTTTGATTACTTTTTTTTGTATAATTAGGATATAATTAGATTTTGTTTAATTAGGATTTTTAGATAATTTTTTGTATATATGTGTTTTAAATATCCTATATAATTTATTACTTTTACTATAGATGTTTCTCAGGAGTTCTCTGTAAATATTGTATATATATTTTAAATTGCATTTATGTAAATATTTTATTGTATTATTCATTTACTTGATTTTTTTTAATGCTTTTATAAGGGGAACTAACTCCTAGCCCCGGTGTACAGACCAAAAATAGGGCACTGACAGGGCCTAGAGGGAGGTTCTCTATGGCGCTCAACAGTGAAGAATATATGAATAAAATTTACTTATACTTACGAGTAAAGTGTAATAAATTAAGATACGCAGCATTATTAAATTTTTTAATATTGTAATTTTATAAAATTGAAATTGTTTCAGTAGATGATGAATTTCCCCGTAGATAAAAGATTGGTTAGGTAAAGTTACGTAAATCCTATTGGTTACATCATCCACCCTGTAAATTGCAGATTATTTTTAACTCAACGTCCATATTACTTAATTTTTTGTTACTTTTATAAACATTGTTTTGAAAATTTATTATTAAAATCCATAAAATAGTTTTCTGAAAATTCCAGCATTTTAAATATAATATTTATAAAGTGTTGAATAAAATGATTTTATGGGCAGGCAGAAACGTATTAATCAAATTTCTAAGAATTGAGCAATTTGTAACATTAATGTCCTTGATTATCTCATGACAGCTCAATATATGAGAAAAAAGTTGCGAGTGAATTAGAGAAGTCCTTCACAGGGTGTTCTCTAGTTAGTGTTTCTCACTAGGAATACATTTTTTTCGTTCAAATTAACATTTATTTTCTTGGTATTTTAAAAACAAAGTGATTACAATCAACACATTAAATGATAAAACCAATCAATTAAAAAACAATAAGAATATAATGGTTTAAGATATTAATATAGCGTTATTTTTCGTTAGCTAACTAATGAAGTTCATACAAGCAACAACAAACTTAAATGATAATGAGGCCGCTAATTTGCATATAATCTAGTTGAAATGCAGAGACTATCCGTGGCTTCACTTTGATTCCAAGTTAATTTCAATACGCCAAATAAGAAGGTGATCTCATCACTCATTAGGAAGGTGCAAGTCATTTTAAGTATGGCAAAGAGGGGCTCTAAGACAAAAATCTGAGGTGCTTAAACTTTCATGAATATTATCACCAGAAGAAAGTTGTTTAGACAAAGTTTAAGGTAACTTTCATTCCTGGCAAAAACTGCAGTAATAACTTATTTAGCTATAGTTTTACAAATTTTGTTGTATAATGTATTCCGCTTGTTACAACTCAAGTTTTTTTGCTGTAAAAATTTTATGAGCAGCTATTTTTGGTGGAACATTGTAATTTCTTGTTTCTCGTGTTGCTTTTGACTATTGAAAATACAATTTTTTTCTTAGTTGCCTCACTTGGCAAACGAAACCTGCATTCCAAACACCATTTCTCCGAACGCCCCGTGGACTATGTCTTCGGAGATACTTTTAACTAAGTTACATATCTCCAGTTTCTGTAAAGAGGCAAAAGGCATACTTATAATTGAATTTTCCAATAGAAAAAAAAAGTTGAATGAAGATTTAGTTACAGGCTGCAAAACAAGACAATTTTTAAAAGAGAATTCTCTGACTGAAGATGTTGCGTCTACATTTTATCTATCTAAGTGCCAGAAACTTTTATTCCTAGTCATGCGTATATATATGTGATTGATTGAATGTAGAGTTTAATGGTACAAAATCCAAATGTGGACATGCTGCGCCAAACAATATGTTTATACATGTCAAAATTGAAGTGTATACTTATTTTCCTAAATATAATCAAAAATTGATAAAATCATATACAAACAATCAACGGTAATATTGGAATAAAATCACGTCAAAGTTAAAACACAGTAAAATAGTATAAAAGTAAGAATATCCTTCTAAAAATGAATAAATTCATGAACAGAATAAACTTATATACAATTTAAAATGCCAATAGCACGTAAAAATGCAAAAATGTTCGGATGATGCGTATATATATGTCAAAAATTTTCACTAGAGGATGCTGCCTTATTAAATGCAGAAGTTGCGGACATTAACCTGAGGCTGGAAAAATATTTCAGTGCAGTTAACTACTTCGTAGATCTTTTTTGTGAAGATTTCTAAAAACATACAAAAGAGTACACTAGAGGAAGAATTTGCTCTGTATCAGATTGATATCTTCAGTGAGGTTGTTATAAAAAATAATAAGCCTGCTGAAGTTTGGTCTCTGATCGAAAAAATTAAAGATCAGAAAGGTTGTTTAAAATACAACATTCTGCCGATTATTATGAAGAGGATATTGCTAATCCCACACAGCAATGTCCCTTGTGAAAGGCTGTTTAGTCTTGTGAGAAAAAATCAAAATGACTTCAGAGGAAATTTAAGTTTATCGACGTTGCAATTTGATTGAAAAATCAAAAATGAACTCTGTTATGAAGGAGACTTTACTAAAGAAGAATTAGCTAAGGCTAAAAAGGCCACATCTATAGCATTACAAAGCAAATAATGTGTTATAATTTTTATACTCTTTTAATTTGCATTTTAATATTTTATTATTATATTAATAAATATTTTGTATATTCAGTATTGCTTTATTATTTCTCATTACCATATAATGTACATAATGAGGTATATTTAATGTAATAAAACGATTGATCATTGACTGCAAAAAAAGTGCTCCCCTTTGGTATGACTAAAGGTTGGAATCCCTGAGAGTGTTACTGCACAAGAGAATGGGAAATTATGGCATCGACGTCTGCGACACGCCTCCGTCAAAATACGTAGACTTTTGAATCTCCCTGTGTCTAACGAATTCTGTGAAATTTCCTGCACTGCCAAACAAGCTCGACTCCCATGGGAAGAAAGGGTCAAGAACTAGAGAAAAGAAACCTCGGCTGACAATTCACACTGATATTTGTGGACCAATTTTTCCAACCACTGCATCTGCACCTACATAGTAAATAGTAATCACATACTAATCCAAAGTTCACTGAACTACGATTATTATACTTTTTTAACTAATTTGGTTAACTTATATTGACCAGTTTTGGTATAGGATAAAATGTTAGCTACAGCTATCGACTAGATAATATTCGAATGCTAACTGTCTTACTTAGTGAGGTAATACTACAATTTCTTAATACTTCTGTATAAGTATACTTCTGTATAAGTGAATATACTTCTGTATAAGTGAAATGGGATCATCACAAGAAAAAAAACTTCCTAAACTGGAACAGTCTAGTTTTAAAAATTTATCTCGCGAAGAAAGAATTTTTATGTTCCTCTCTTCCGACCTAAACAAAGCATATTGCTTGTTTATGCAATTTATTCTATCTACATTTGATGTCGCTAATAAAACTCTGCAGTGTAGAATTCCAAAAATTCATATTTTTAATTCTATGCTCAGAGAATTATTCAGAAATATCCTCTCGAAATTTGTAAAACCCTGTGGAATATTGCATGTCAATACGATCTATGATGTTGATTACCATAAGAGAGAGAACCAAAAAGAGGATGAAGATCTGGTTATTGGAACTGCTACTGGAAAGATTGTGTCTGAATTATCGAAAGAAGAACAGAAGCAGTTTTACATTAATATCAGAAAATACTTATGCAGGGCATGTGACTATATTTTGCATAAATTTCCCATAAAAGATGAAGTTGTGCTGCATGCTCAAGTAGCTGATGTTTCAAGACTTCAACAAGCTTCTTTTTCGGATGTTAAGTACTTTATTAACAGATTTCCCATTTTAGTTA